TCATCAGCCTTGAGGTTTTGATTTTCTTCCTCATTTCTATCGTTCAACATCATCATCAATAACAATTAGTGAAAATGATGATATAACATCAACATATTATTCATTATTTTTTGTCGATAAAGAATATGAATGTATTTATAAAAATATGCATTTAAATCCTGAATAATTCTTTCCTTCTTCATAGAATAAAATAATAATTTAGTATTATTATCATTTAGCTTTTAATGCATATTGTTATTATGGATCATATTGTGAATAAATCTGTTAATTCAAATTGATTCTAATAATCGTGATACATCAACATGTGATTGTCATAGTGGATATAGATTAAAAAGTGATGGACGAACATGTTCACCTAAAAGTCAACAATATATTATTTAGAGTACACATTCATTATTAAGAACATTTTATTATTGTTCGAAGGATTCGATGTTGTGCCATTGATTTCTGGTAAGGTTTGTCATAATAGGTATTGAATTTTCAAAGATAAATTCAATGAGATAATACGTATTTATTTACATACTTGATTTTGTCTGATGAAAATCTTCAAGCTTAATAACCAATTTTTGTAGCGATTATTGAATTAATCATAAGAATATAAAATTTATTAGTCATTTAACTAAGAAAAAAAAATCATTCTCAGTCATAGATTAAATTTTTGAAAGTTTAGTTTATATCACTGATTAGTTCTATATTTTAATTAAATCGTATTCTAATCTAAAGACTATAGAGAATCGAAAGAACTATGAATATCCTGAAAAAAAGATTTGCTTGTTTTGCTTATTATTGCATAAATATTTTACTTTTACGATTAGGTTTTCAATGAATGGCGTAGAGTTCAGAGAAATTACTTCTGAATTTTCAGTAAGAGATTTGTACTTAGAGACGTCTTTACGAAAATAATCTATTGAGACAGTTTTAGACCTTTGTTGTTTCCATCCTAGGATAAAGTTTAGTAACAGTAGATCTTTTTTATATATCTCAACTATAACAGTACATGAGATGTTCCTATTTTAGGTTAGAAACAAATCAAACACTTCAAAAATTTTACATAGTATGGTTAACATTTACCTCTAAACAAGACTTCTAATTAAAAATTACTTGCTAAAGGAGATTACAGTATTCATATAAAAAAGAAAGACGCTAAAATATATTATAGTTTTGTAGTAAAAAACTAACAGTGAAAATTAGATATTCACAGAACTAGACAACGACGCAGATTTATAAAAAAAGATTTTATAAATCATTACGACCAGAAGATAATTAAAGAAAAACCAATTCAAAGAAAGTTCTAGTTGTTAACTACATAAATCATAAATAGAGAATATTGAAAAATTTTTTTGGTTTTGATACAAATTCTATCTGGATTAGTTTTCTCCAGTCCGAAATCTTGTACATAAGAGCTTAGCTCTGATTATTTCTAGTTCGAATAGTTTTAAACTATAGAAAATTCAAACGAGTCTAGATAATCTATGTAATGTCGTTCCTGCAATGTTAATCTTCTACAGTGAAAAATAACATCATGTTTTGAACTATTTTCAGTAAATCTTTACAAATTTTGATGTAATTTTTATTGGATAAATGCAAATTGTTTAATTTATGGTATGATACGGATAAATAATCGAACATGGAATGTAACAAATTATCTAGAAATAAGTACTGGATCACAATGAAATTACATTCTTGGTCTCACCTTTGATTGGATAACTGGAAATTTATATTTTTCTTATATAAAAAATTCATATGGCCATCTAGAAGTTAATCGTCTTGGTAAAGATTATCAATTAATTTTACAAAAAAGGAACAAATAAAACAATTTATTCTCTTGTTGTTAATCCAAAGCGAAGGCTAAGTCAGATAATAAAACCGAATAAATTATATTATAATTTTATTTTTATTCGTATAGATCGTTTATTATTCAATAGTGAAAACATAACATATCTTGTAACAATACAAATTATTCGACCATAATCAATAACAATTGATTTTCTTACTGATAATGTTTATTGGTCATAGATTTTATTCGTGAAACAGTTGAAGTTATATCATGAGATGGAAGTTATCGTTGAATAGTTTCACGTAATATTCCAAAAGCAATTAGTTTATTTATTGCGAATAATAATTTATATATTATGAATCGAACACTTTCATCAGTAAAAATTTTAGATAATTGTTTTTTGTTTTGTTTCTTTTTTTAAACGATAATGCGTATCAATAATGATACAACGTTTAAAATCAATATTAATATTAAAAACTTTTGAAATTAGTCTCATGGTATTATTTGATCAACAAGTAAGTTATGAATCGCCATGTCAAACATCAGCAGTTCGACAATGTTTTTATGATGATCTTTGTTTTTTCTATTTCTGATACAATGTACATGTACATATGGTACATTAAATATAAATCAACGAACTTGTTCACATAAAAAATTTTTTTATTCTTTGATAAAAATTAAAATATTTTTCTTTTGTTGTTTGTTTTTTCATAGCATCAAATGAATATTTACTTGTTGCCATGAAATAAGAAATTCGTTCTATGTCAATGGAACTTCATAGTTTAGCAACAAGAGCATCATAGCGTGCAATTAAAAATTTAAGTATGGTCGTTGGTATTTATTTTGATTATCGAGATAGGAAAAGATTTTTATACGTAAATAATTGTTTTTTTCTAAATGGTTAATCTATGAATTTATTTTTAAAATTAATCTTCATTTACAAGATATATTTTTATTTTATATGGATGATCCTATAATCCAAATACACGACAATTAGAGCAATCAAATGTTACTGGCAATATGAGAAATATTAAGAATTTTGTTGTTTTTTCTTGACTAAAAAAATATTGAGGTCGTTCACAAACTGTTGGTATATCATATGATGAACGATATGGAAGAATAATTTCGGTTAGAAATTATTCGTTCAGAAAAATTAGTTATAACTGTTAGCTTAAAACCAAGAACTATTTTTGTTCATCCATGCAAAGAGTCCGTTTTTATTTGATTGTTTTCATGACAAAATATATATATATATGTAGTTTTTGTAAAATATAGATTATTCTTTTTTAATTTTAGAATATTGATGGAAGAAAAAATCGTTGATAGAAACATTGATTTGTTTCTTAATTATTTAAATGTATGTTAAACACGAAAAATTAGCTCTATTACTTTTGACGAATGAAGTTTCTTTATTACTAAGTCAGGACTATATATATATATATATATTATACTCTGAAAACAAAAAAGGGTTTCGTGATATGCACGAAACCCTTTTTGTTTTCAGTGTAGACACAATATGAATTCTGAAGAGTTCATGTCTTTAATTTATTTGTGTGAAGATATTATAGATACATTAGAAGTATTAGCAGCGTATCTTTTATAAATCAATAGGTTTTATGCATCTAGTTGAGAAAAGGAACAACTCAAAAGAACGTGAAGATTTCGTAATGAATCATTGTTATTAATTTTTGTCTCTTTATAAAGTTTTAATTCGAAATCGAAAAGTCAGTTTTTTTTTGATTGATAATATTTATTTGAAAACTATATCTCAGCAACTATAAGCTGAGAATGTGAATTCTTTTCAAGATAGTCATAGTTCACTAAGATCTATGTAATGCATATAATCTACCATTTAACATCAATTGAAATACAATCGATAAAACAAAATATTTTCTATGTATTAAATTTAGTAATCGTGTTGAACGTATGCATCATTAGATAGTTTAAATCAAGAAGTTATTTTAAAGGTTGTCTATCCATTTGAAATAATCGTTCATGAACATTATATTTATTGGACTAATTGGACTCTTCGTAAGTTATTTAATACACGTTATTTTCTAAAAATAAAATAGTTTTTTGTCTCGTTTCAAGCTCGTATTTATCGTGTTGAACAATATACCGGTACTAATATGGTTAAAATGCAAAAATGATTTTCCATATCGTCTAATGGATATTCATATTATTTCGAATCAGCATAAAAAATGTGAATATTTACCATATAATATAAGTAATGGTGTTTTTAGTCATATATGTAAAACAGTAGCTAATAATGAAATTATGAATGTGCTTATCCAAGTAGATAACAATTAAAATTAGCTAATGATCGACGAATGTGTGTTTGTAAGTAAAATTTTGAAACGAGAAAAATGAAGAAGAAAAAAAAATGTTCTTTTATTTATTTTTATTGCTTTCATCATCGTCTGCTTTAGTTAGTTTTACCTGTCGAAATAGTCAATGGGATCGATAAATTGATAAATAAAAAATAATAATACAACTGTTTAATACAGTTCTTGCAAGATTAAAATCAAGGGGGAACAAACTGATTTCTAACGCTAGAAATCACAAGAAATCACTGGAAATCACAAGAAATCACTGGAAATCACTGGAAATCACTAGAAATCACTAGAAATCACAGGAAATCACCAGAAATCACTGGAAATCACTAGAAATCACTGGAAATCACTGGAAATCATTAGAAATCACTGGAAATCACTAGAAATCACAAGAAATCACAAGAAATCACTGGAAATCACTAGAAATCATCAGAAATCACTTTAGATTAAATTTCTCAATTTTTTCAAATTATTTGACATTAGTGATAAATATACAATATTCTTTTATTCTTATTCAATTTTTATTAAATTTACCGGAAAATTAGTACCCGTTCGTCAGTCAGTTGCTAGAACTGTTAATTGTAAAACAACTGAAAGCTCCTTATATTCGTTATTTCATAAAGTAGTCATAGACTAATCTAAACATATCTTATAGATATGAATGAAACATGATCGAATAGTAGCTACTACATAGTTGTCGTTCAACCTAGATATCTAGGACTCGACTGTTCCATGTCTCTTATTATGTGTTATCTTTCTCACATAACTAATCGAAGGACACATTTTCGTTCGTGTTCATTTCTATCGTCGTCTTCTTCAACGAACGTCGTCTTCCTATTTATTTCGTTTTCTTCGTATTTACTTTTTATTTTTATTGAACAGTGGCGAATATGTCCGATCGAAGTTCTATCGTGCCTAATAATGTTTTTTATTTTGAAAATGATGAATTTTTTGAATTTGTGAGATCTTTTTCTGGCGAAAAACTGGCTATTCTTCTACAGTTTCAAGAAATTACTAATGTACAATGTTTTCTCGATTGTGATGACCCTTTTGAAATTTTATCGTTCGACTCAGATGATTTACTTGATTTAAAAAAGAAATTGTGTGTTAAATTGAATAATAATTCGTTTGCTATTTTACCTGGAATCAAGAGCAAAATGAAGCTTTTAAAAAATGCATTGACAAAAAAACGAAATCAATTTAGAAGAGAATCATCAAAAACAGCTCCAGATATCGTTGCAATAAATAATCCACAATCAATTATTTTGACAGCTGAAAATCTTACGTATTCTTCAAACTCGTTTGCTCAGCCACCAGTAAACATTTCTTCGTCTTCAGCTGTTACTTTAAATATCAATGACGAACAAAAACAGCACATAATTCATTTACTCAACGAATGGTGTGAAAAAATCAAAGAAGATAGCAGCCAACAACATATTAAACTTAAAGAAGGTGTTGACTATGAACTCATTGTAGATTGTATGTCAAATAAAGCACTGATCAAATGTCAATGCGGCACAAGTACAACGTTAGGCAAAAAAAATAATATTTATATCGTAAGTCACTTCTCTTCATCACTTATCGTTTACTTCATAAAAAAGATAGACAAACACTTCTATGATCTCCATCTATTATGGATGAACGATCCTCCACTTATTCTCACATATATACATATAACTATAAGTCAGATTCAATTATGTATGATAAGACAAACAACAGTAGTTCTCATATCGTTTTTTTCTTGTTAGTTAAATATATATTGTTATCCGATTATCTTCTCTGGTTATTTTTTAACAGGGATATTAGAATCCTGTTTTTGCTAGTATATTTACATAAAAATAAATATTAAAACGGGAGCCTTACCAACACATTTTCCTAAGCGGGTGAATAATGTGTTGAGAGTATAATGATAGAATATGCATATCCGCTGACAATTGGTAAATGAACGCTATCTAGGATTCAATGCTGATGATAAAATAGATTGCATACGTTAGTTTGCTATGTGATTGATCTATCGAAAATACAAGATAGAGAAAAGGAATACATCTATGTATTAAATACTGTTGAGATGAGACGAGATTACTACTGATATACTTTACTATGTTGTTAGTTCAATAAGTATTAAACCACCGTTTCTATTAATTTCAGATGTAGAATTTTTTTATTATAAGTGCAACAGACTTCAACTTGCTTTCTATTCATACTCTTCATCTATAATTGCTCGGATTATACTTTTTGACATTAAAATTGTACAGTAGTGAAGCTGATTGATTGAGACATAGAAGATAGGTGTCAGCACGAAGATGATTTGTTTTGAATTCGAAACGCGACGAATGTCGATAAGCTTATGATTACGTTACTCCATTTTCTTTATCATGACGAATCCATACATTAATATATTAAAAAAAAATTGTTATTATTTTAGTTGTCAAATTTCATTCGACATATAACGAAACCCAATCCATGTGTTATGATTCAACAAAAGGCGAAAGATACTAGTGACACTATGGTTCAAATTTTTTTTTCTAGTAACGGCAATTCAAACACGTCTGATGATCCAATAATCAGTGCTGTATCAAATTCGACCCCATCTAGTCAAACAATATCTGGAAAACGAAAACAAAATCCAATATCTCGATTGTCAAAGAAGAAAAAATTATGAATGTACATTTTTCTGACTAGATTTTTATTTATGTATAATGTGTAATTGTTTATTTTTTTTTGGTCTGTTTTTAGGCTGCTCTTTTATAATAACATTCATGATATATAGAATACTTAATGCAACATAAAACTGATAGAACTATTCTATGACTTAATCTGTTTCATTGGGAAAATCCAAACTTGATACTCAACATAAATTGCATCATGAGCATAAGAAACATTTGTTTATAACAAAACAAAAGTGAAACATCATATAAAATAATCTTTTAGAGGATATGATTAACATTAAAAGTCGAGTTGTATGGGGTGATGTTTGAAGGATACTTTATTTGAAAGAATATATCTTTTTTGTGTAATTTCTGTATGTGAACTGCGTCAATATGATCATTATCATTTTTTTAGAAAAGTTTTGACAAATGTCAAGTTCTTCGTCTGTTAATGATTTAAAAGAAGAAGTTTTGTTTTTTCGTAACGAGACATTTTACAGTTTCGTTAAAGAAAATTGTGGTGATATTGTTCTCGAGATTATGCAAGCTCAAGATATTTCGTCGGTCGACTGTCTTCTTGATGTGGGCAACATCTTTACATTTCTAGAACTCGACTCAAATGAGCTGGTACAATTAAAAAAGAAAGCAGGAATAATACTTAATGATGGTAGTTTTGTCGTAAAGAAAGGAATTTTACACAAAGTAGAGATATTTACTCGCACTCTTCGTGTTCTTAATCAACAACATTCAACTTCTTCGCTATCTCGTTTAAACAACTCTTCTGATTTAATTATTCCTGAAGATCTTGTTCAAAAGTTTCCATTTCTTGTAACTCTTATCACCTATTCAAATTTCATTATGAAAAGCAAAATTGATTTTACATTTTTTAATCTAATGATGACTAATATAATAAAAAACTCAATAAAGGAAGATACAGGCTACCGCTATGATAGTATTGTTCGCCAGTTCGCCTCCGCTTTATATATTCTTGGAGGTCGTACAGCATACGAATTCGTTCGCGTAAACATTCCTGCATTTCTACCTAGCATACAATCTATTCAATCGTCCATCGCTTCATCAGAAAATTACCTCACGGAAGGACACTTTGATTTTAATCGCGTTAGCGATTATTTCAATTCGAAAAAAGCAACATTAGCATTTTGTGCTGAAGATTGTACAGCGACTGTTTCGAAAGTAATATACGATACACAAACGAATACATTTGTCGGCTTCTCTTTGCCACTTGAGCAAAACGGATTGCCTATCGCCAAGTCATATTCAACTGACTCGTTTACTTGTTTAGAAAATTGGTATTTGAATGAACCTATGGCAAAATCATTAGTTGCTCATCTATTTCAGCCACTTTCGTCTTCACTTGAAAATATATCACCTTGTCTTCTTGCAGCGTATGGAACAAATAATAAATTTAAATCGTCAGACGTTATTGCTCGGTGGGGTTATATCTATCGTCAATGTAAAGCTAAAGGCGTTCGTGTTATAGGCTACTCAAGTGACTGCGATAGTCGCTATTTAAATGCAATGAAACGATCTCTCGGATTTTTTGGCGATTTCGCTTATAATAATCATCCAGATAACTATGAAATTAATATTCCAAATAAATGGAATTGGTTTCTAATGCAGAGCAAACAATTGTTCATTTGTATGCAAGACTCCATGCATATTTGTACTAAACTACGTAATAGACTTCTTTCGAAAACAACAACACTCGTTTTCGGTGATCAACTCATCAATATTCAACCACTATATTATATAATTGATAATTTTTGTAAACTCGACCACGGACTTGTTTAATCTGATGTCAACCCCAAAGATAGACAGAACTACGGATCGTGTGAAAAGATTACCAATGACAGAGTTTTGAAGTTACTTGAAGCTATTCCAAATTCTCTTGGTATTAGTATTTATTTACAGGTGAGCACCATAAAAAATTCTACATCGAACGCAGCACTATTTGATCTTATTCGATTAAAAATAAATAACTAGTCAAATTAATTTTGAGAAAAAAGTATCTTATATGCATATAATGAATTGAATCATATTAATCAAAAAATTTTAACAATGGATCACTGTATCAGCAGGATCTAACATGATTGGAATGTCTTTATGAATAAATTGAAATCAGTTTCATTCTATTTGAAAAGCAAAAAACTTTACTACCTTGATGAGCTGATATTAGCGAAGCCATAGGCCATCATTACGAGTGTCGGGGTTCACGTTTCTTTCGGTACCGTGACTTAGGAATGGAAATTCAATTCAAAATTTGTCTGCAAGAGTTTTTGACTATTTGGAAACATATGGGTATGCCTATATTTCAATGTTTCACGTCACTATGAATTTCTGAGAACGAGAACCCATCCGAGCTCCAAGAAATGGAAACAAATCCGGGTTCTGGCTTCTCTGAAACGGAACCTGAAAGTGACATCCAAAACCATCATTGTAAAAATTCACGATAAAATGGCTATTGATTCCGATTTCTGTTTTTGATTTTAGGCTATCAAATACATTCGACTTGCTTATATAGAAAAAACAACAACTATCATGGACCGTATATTTTATGCATGGGTGAGCGTCTTTATTTTTCGATTTTGGTCTATGTGGATGAACACAATGAGTCGAGAAAATCTCGATTTGTTTATCGCTCAATTTTCCAACTGTAATGTTAAATCTAAGAAGCGAAAAAGCAAAACCAAACGCGATTTTTTTATAACGTATCAATCACATTTCTCGGTCGAAATCAACGCTCACAGTCTCGTATATCTCGCAGTACTTTTCTCTGAAGGACAAGTTCCTCCCGAAGCTCTCAACGTATGGTTACAAAATTCTCAAACCTGTGAAAGTATATTCAGATCGGCAAGATCAATGTCGAGTACTTGTTCTGCAGGCGTGAACTTTACAGTGTCGCAATTTCTTGCTCGAATCAAGAAATTGTCCATGTTGCAACACATAAAAAACAATGCCAGTCAAAACAACTTACGCTTTCCTCAACATCATAAATTATCGACAGCTTCATGGAATGAGGCACCCAACTTAAATACAGCTCTTGTCTCGAAAAATAATATTGAAATTAGAGTTCTGGATGCATATCAATATGTAATTAACCTTTTGAGTCCACTTAAAATAAACCAATGTTTACGAAATCAACAAAAAATATCTATTGAAGAACTCAGTTCAGCAATCGCTCATCATTTAGGACAATCATGGGCAAAAGAAATCGATGAGAATATAAACGAAGATTCCGATGTTGAATCAGATAATGAAACAGACAATAAGATGACAAATGATCTTGCAAGTAATTGTGATAGTGATGAAGATTTGGAATTCGATGGTGGTTTCGACGTTATCAACAATGTTACAACATCTGCAAATCGTGGGGTACGATTGGTTGATAACGTAAAAGAAAAACTCTCGCAAACATACTTTCAAGTTACAATTAACAAACAGAATAAATTTCTTCACAAACAAACTGCTTGCTGGCTTCTGGAGAAAGACAAAAGCTCATTACCCGCTGATCGATTGTCACGCGTTCAAGAACAATAATCATTTTTCTTTTCAACTATTTTGTTTAAGTAAAAACACTTGTTGCTTATCTACCATATTGTGAAAAATTTTTCGGATTATAAAAACTTTGGTTCATGCAAGTCGCGTATCTATAATATATGTTCGTAATTCTACCGATATCAACGGATAAGAAAGGCAATTCGAAACTATAAAAACAAAAATAAGAATTTCCACAGGTACTAGAAATCATGAGAAATCACCAGAAATCACTGGAAATCATGAGAAATCACTGGAAATCATGAGAAATCACTGGAAATCACTAGAAATCACTGGAAATCATCAGAAATCACTGGAAATCATCAGAAATCACTGGAAATCATCAGAAATCACTAGAAATCACTAGAAATCACTAGAAATCACTGGAAATCACTAGAAATCAAGAAATCAAGAAATCAGTTTGTTCCCCCTTGATTAAAATGTAGAACATCATACGACTATTGTGTCTAATTAGTAGAGATAGATTTATTCTGTCTATTTGAGAAATTTTTATCCTTCAGATTGATAATAAGGAAATAGTTTATATATTATTCGAAGATATTTATGATATACAGTATTTGATTATATATCAACTAGGTTTATTATGATCTCTAACTAATATTTATTGTAGTCTGCTGGCTTCTAAATTTCTACTTGTTTAACTCAATAATTTCTTTAAATCATATTTTACAAGAAAAAGAATAAAATTACTTTTAAATTTTTTAAAATTTAATATAGATTGTAATGATGATAGTGATGAAAACAATACATTTCAATCATATGTGTATCTTCAATGTCCCAAAGGAAAATTTGCATGGAATAATTTTCGTTTCATTGAGAATTTTAAATGTTTTAATGGTATGTATATCATAAGAAATTTACTAAAGAAAAAAAAAAATTTTATATTTAAAAATCATATAGAATATAATGATTGTAATGTAACTGATGAAATTAGTTGTCCACCTCGTATTTGTTATAGAACAGATAGTATGAAATATTCAAATAGTAATATTTGTATATTATATAAAAAACATGAAAATAATTAATTTTATTGTAATTAAATATATTTCTTAATAGAATGGTGATTATAGTGATGAAAGTCCAATATTTTGTTAATAGTATTCAATGAAATATAAGTTGGTCATTGTATACCATATTTATCGGTATATGGTAGTCAATTTTATTGTATAAATGATACTAATAAACCAATCAATTGTCGTTCAATAAATCGAACGTGTTCAGTTGATCTTTAGAAATGTAATAACGATCGATGTATCAGTTCGAAACAAGGCGTTCTAATGTATTGATGATTGTCAGTACATTAAAAATCATTTGAAACTATTCTAAAAAAAATAATTCTTTATTTTATTTTATATTGAGATGGAATGTGTTTGAAGATGAATGACATAATTATAGTTTGTATTATATATAATAATTTTTATAGAAAACATGATTAATTCGATTTTCTTCATAACTAAAATACTTTGTAATTTAGAACAATTTCGTTGTCCATCAGATTTAAAAAATAATGTCTTAATCGATCAACTATTTGTCATAGTATTGCAAATTGTATGCGTGAAGAAGATGAAATTAATTGTTCATCATAACAGTATGTAATTACATCTATTAAAATAGATAAACATGTTTCGTTTGTTTAAATTTCAATGTGATAATGATCTTTATATATCACATTGGTATGTTTATGGTAAGTAATAATCTTTTTAAATATTTCTGTAGTGTAATTCAATTTTCTTTAGTTTTCAGATCGTGATAATTATTATGGTTTGTTGATGTTATTTATTTAAAATAAATTTGAAATGATTTCTTTTATAGGAGATGGATCAGATGAACTTGTATCATGTGGTAAGAAATAATNTAAAATATATTTTCAAAATACAATAAGTACGTATATATATGGAATATTGAAAGATATCAAATTACCAACAAGCGATACGTACGACAAGAATAGTCATATATCTTCTTTTGTTTTGAATACTTTACTGTACCTTCATAGATTGCAACATTATGTTTTTTGTCGCTGAATAGAAAAAGAACAAAGGTGACTTGCTTCTCTCCTTTGGAACAGAGCAGTAGTCATTTTATCCCATGCTCGACAGCGGTATGCAAACTGAAGTAGTTTCTTTTGTTTTATTTTGAATTGTTGAGTACTGGAATGACTTAGTTGATTTGGGTGTGGGTGTGGGTGTGGGGTGTGGATGTGGGTGTGGATGTGGGTGTGAGTGTGGGTGTGGGGTGGGGGTGGGGGTGGGTATCATAAGAAATACATTCCTACACTCCCACACCCGACACTCACGCCCGCACCCTCTCACCGCACTTTCTGTCTATAACTTTTAATTTTTAGCTTCTCAGAAACACCTAATAACGATAACAATATTATATCTTTAACCTGACTTATATTTTTCCGGAGAAAAGCTTTTTAATAGAGAAGTTTTCATACGTTATTTAATTTGTCATCTTCAGAGAAATACTACCACTCGAGCTATTTTTCTTGGTTTGATTTTTAACCTCTCGGAAAAGTATTGTAACGCGCACAGTGTCATTCAATTTCCTTTTCTAGTTTAGTTTCCTACAATTTATTCAACACCATCTGGTGGCTGGATGTAGGCGTTGATTATACTTTGACTGTTCTCTGCATCGACATTACTGTAAAAAAGAGAACGACATGAGATAAACAAAAAACAACATTCTTTGCTGAATATTGAATCATGAATATTGTATTGATGGTATTTAGTATCAACTTAAATAAAGTCTCTTAGATCTTTTAATTTTTGTTCTTGTTCACGGAATAAAAACATTGATGACGTATGAATGTTTTCAATGATGTTCAAGCGATAGAAGGCTTAAATAAAATTTAATTGAAAAAAATATTCCTGAAAGAACATTTTTCTTTTATTCTTGTTATTTGAAAAAAATAGCGTTTGATTTCGATTCTACAAAATCAGTAATGATTTGAAATGTTTGCTTTTATATTTCTTTCTAAAAATATACAATCAAGAAGAAAATCAATATTCATTTTTATATGACTCACTTCTTATCTACCATCTAAATAGTACATAGTCTGATGAAATAAAACTATGAGAGATATACCAATCAAAGTCATATGCATTACGGGTGGCGATATCTGGTTCTCGCAGAGACATCAGAGGATAAAGATGTGACAGAAATTACTTAAAATAGACTCTCTTTGAAACTGTGTATTTGATTTTCGATTAAATCCAGTCCGTTTCAAGAGATGATAGGGAGGTACTGGTTATCATAGAAATTAATCATTCAATGGCGTCACTTTATGTTATACCAGCATCTATAGATGTACAAGATGATCATTTTTATAAAATAGATTTATCCAGTTGCATATAGTTGAGTTTCATATGTTAAAATGTTTTTCGATTATAGGACAAGATAGTTCGTTATTTTTATTTCAATTATTTTTGTTTTATTATTTTATTAACATAAAAATGCAAATGGAAGAAAAAAAACATTATATTCTAATAACAAAATTGCTAAAAGACAGTCATTTCATTTTTGATTTGTAATTGGTCTAGAAAAAAATGGGTCGCTCTGGAACAAATCAATTTAAACCAGTAATGGTGAGATGATTCTGATGGGAAGTTCTCATCGTTTGTGGAATGATATTTTTTTTTGCGTTTCGTCGAGCGTTATTTTTTGATCGAGATAGTATTCATGGTGTTGATGTTGTTGGTTTAGAAAACGAAATTGGAGACAAAGGAACTTTCGAAGATACACATGAAATGATACTGAAAATATCATAAATTAACATACAAATGAGGAGTCAGAATGAACGTCACATGAATTGAGTTTGTGAGATTGTATATTTCGTGTTATAGTCAACTGTTCATTGTCTTCTGATTCATATATCTCAATGAGAAGACTAGATTAAGTGACTCATGATTATTAGTTAAAGTTACTCGTTTGTGAAACAACTTTTTCTGTTTGTATTAAATATTAAATGCTTCATTGTTTTGATCATTTAAAATGTTAGCATAATTATAGTCAATACGTATTATAGCTATGCTATTATTTTTGGTTTTATCATCGTCAGTGAGAGATAACATTAAATGATGTGATGATCGATATAATTGTGATAATTCATAATCATCACTTTCAGTATCGGATATATTATTCTATGAAAATGAATTTTTTTTATCCTTGTTAAACAAAAAAACTAACTAACAGATTCTTGTATCTTTGTAATCGAGGACAGCGGACGCGTAACATCTCTACAGTATTTTCTGCGAACATAGTTATTGATCAGAGATGTATCACGGAGGTATATATGATGATTCAAGCGATATCTCGTACGAAGTTTCTCTTCACATTCAGTTGAATCGTAAAATAGAGAGATTTTGAAGTAGCTTGAATTTTTTTTGGCACACAACATATTCTCTGATAAATTCTGGCATTTTATTGATTAATTGATATTTTAACGTTACCACAGAAATAAATCATTATTACTGTTTGCCTTAATCAAATTGTTACCAACGGTTGTGCTGCTATAAACGATACGTCAAAAGACAGATGTCGTCACAAACTCCTCAAGTTTTTATACATCAGAAAGATTTAACATGATGATCTTCAATAACTCAGAATGAACTATTTTTGTACAAAATATGAATTATTAAAAGCCGATCCTACCGATCCACATACAAAATGCATTAATGGATACAAATTTCAACTTTGATTTGATGATTCATGCATGTGTGTCAATAGACTAAAAGTTGCTTTTGTCACTTCCTACTTGTCACTTTTCTTTTTGATTCGATTGATGGTGGAAACATATTAACAAAACACTTTCTTTGTTCTTTCTACATTAAAAGGAAAAAGAAGTTCACATACAATTATATAATATTAAAAATATGAATTCAACCAAACGACATTTGGTTGATAGTCAATCAACGCAACAACAAACAAAGAAGTTACGAAGTAAGCTTTGTTCGTGCATATATATTCGTATTCTTTATTATGTTTCTAATTTTTTTTAGAAGCCTTTAAGTAAATATAAAAACAATTCTCTAATGTTATATAACATAATTTTTGTATGTAGTGAATCAATCACATATATTGAAAATTTGCCAACTGAATTTTTTTATGAAATATTTACTTATCGCGAAGGTTGTATATTATATGAAGCTTTTACTAATCTAAATACTCGTTTTCAACATCTTTTGACTAGTTCATATGTATTACTTAATATTCGAATCTCATCTTGCCCAAATACAATTCTTGAACATCGTTATACACATATTATTTAACCAAATAAACATCAAATTGTTTCAATATCATTGGTAAACTATTGTGGTAATGATGAACTGTTTAGATTCTTTTCTATTGATTCATCATTTACTCAACTTGAATCACTGATCTTTAAGAACATTGATGAAGATAATATCATAAAAATTCTTTCAAATTTAATTTCTTTGTTTCGTCTCGCTTTTTTAATAATTCATCTTAATGACAATTGTCATGATCTCTGCAAAGTATGTCGACTTATTTTTCGTTTACCAGTTTTGAAATCGATGAGACTTTTATCGAAGAAGTTTGTCAAATTTACTCGGCTGCCAATAGCATCCAATAAACGAATGGTATAGAATTGGTCGAAAGAAAAAACGTCGAAAGTAGAAAATGTCGAAAGAAAAAATATCGAAAGCGCCGTAAATAGAGTTTAGGCCAGACC